CGTGCAAATAGGCCTTTCTGAGGCAGCAGTCTCAAGCCTGATGTGTTACTCTTGGTCCTTGGCCATCACTCACAGCAAAATTACTCCGTGGCCCCCAAACCTAAGGGTGAGACCAACCTTCAGTATTATTCTGTTATGCCTTTGGGCACCACATAAAATAAGCCCCCTACTCGTTGCATGGATTCTAACTCGCTGGTGTCATCGTGGTGAGAAAGGCCCTGGCGGACAGAGACCTGCTGCGTAGGATCCCCAAGGCTGTAACAGACTGTCACCCCTTTCTCCGGTGGACTGGCTGGTGGGTTCAAACCCGATCTTTTGGTTAGCCCAGGCACCACCAAACCAAAAACCAACCAAACTCTGCCATCGAGTCGATGCTAACTCATAGCGACCCTATGGGGCTGCGCAGAACAGCCCCGGTGAATTTCCAAGATGTTCACTCTTTACGGGAGTAGAAAGCCCCTGTCTTTCTCCCAAGAAGCAGCTGGTGGTTGCCAACTGCTGACTTTGTGGGTAGCAGCCCAATATGTAACCACTACACCACCAGGGCTCTTTAAGATAAACCCCATCAACCACAAAAGAAACTTTGCTGCTCCTTCTCTGTTCTTAGAGAATCAAGTGGCTTCCTCCTTCAGTGGCTGTAAGCTGCTTTTTACCTGGCTCCAGGCATCCAACCAGGAACAGCACGACTCTGAACAATTCACAGGTGACCCAAGTGCCTTCCAGGGTTAAAGCAACATCAAGAGCAGCGGTTCTCAACCTGTGGGCCGTGACCCCTTTGGGCGTCGAACGACCCTTTCACAGGGGCCGCCCGATTCATAACAGTGGCAAAATGACAGTTATGAAGTAGCAACAAAAATAATTTTATGGTTGTGGGGTCACCACCACATGAGGAACTGTATGAAAGGGCGGCGGCATTGGGAAGGCTGAGAACCACTGGTCAAGAGGGTAAGGGTACATCCCCCAAGAATTATGTCCCAGAAGGCATGCAGGGTACCTCAGAAACAGAATTTTCAGTGCTGGGGCACCCAGAGATACGTATTAGGCAGTACAGGCTAAAGGGTGGCCACGTGGGCCCCCAGAGCAGAGTATGGAGCTCTGATCCCAAGGCAGGCTGAAACAGTCAGTCAAGTCCTTAGTTTCAGATGGGCCACTATCTGTGGTAGGAGTGTACCCATCTCACAAGTAAGATTTGACGATGTTCTGTGTGGACGGTGCACAAGTGGGAGACCAGCCCACTGTCTCCTAGTCACCGATGACACCAAGCTCAGCGGTCTGAATTCGCTCCTCCCTCCCACCAGCCTCCCCAGGTGCCAGGTTTTCGTGTTTTCTCCTTTAGAAAATCATTGATCTGGATTGTAGTAGAGATTGTACAACCCTGCTGGATGTGACCGAACTATTGAATGGTATTAAGTCCTAATTAAATGATTTGGAAAAAATAATAATCGTGGTCTGTCTGATACAGCAATCATATCTTCAATTTTTTTTCATGCATCCCTCACTCTCCTTCAGACTTTTCACCTGGACAAAAGCATTTCTGCAGAAGAAAACCTGTATATTACATACAACTAATCAGAAAGATGCCTTCACAAATTGGTCAAGATGAAACCCTGAATTTTCAAAAACTTCAAAAGGGGTTTTTTACATGCCCTACCTCCCGCCCCCAGGGAGCAGCCTCGAGGTGGCAGTTGACCGCTGTCAAGTGGGTCCTGGCTCACAAAATAACCGCTGTCAAGTGGGTCCTGGCTCACAAAGGGCTCATGTGTGCAAGTTCTGCTTTCAGAAGCAGGCTGCCAGGCATGTCTTCTGAGGGACTTCTTTGTAGGTCCAATTGCCAGCTTTTTGGTTACTAGGAGTCCCGCCCTTAACCACTTGCACCACCCCTTTCTGAGCCTCCAAAAGTAACCCCTGGCCCCCTACCATCCAGTCAATTCTGACACACAGCAGCCCTAACTCCCTAGACCTGGGGGTTCTTAGACAAACGTCTTTAGAGCAGCGGATGGCCTCTTCTTTCTCCCTCAGAGCCCGGGCTGCTCACTCCTGGGAAGGTGAGGAAGCACAGTCAGCTTTCCAAATGCAGTGTAAGCTGCAAATACTCCAGAAAACCCAACGGGACTGATCTTCATGAGACACCCCCCTGGAAGACTCAGGGACGTCTGTCCAAAGCAGGTACAGAGCTCACGGTACCTAGGATGCGCCCTTCCTAACTTGCTCCTTCTGGGAGGAGTGACAAATGAAAAATTCAATTGGCTGGTGCATTATTGCTCTAGAGGCCATCGGCAGCTCAGTTTGGGGTGGTCCCTTTCCTGTGGCATGTGTATGTGACACAGTGGTCTAGACAGTGCCCAGGAGGTCTCTGTGATTTCTGGCCCCACAGAAGGGTGTCCTCCATCTGTAGGGCACTGGCTGTGCTGAGTCTGGCACTGGCTCAGTTCAGCACAGTGCAAAGCTGACAGTGTCTGGGTTCGCTTCCTTGTCATGTTCCCGCAATGCGTGAGCTTAGGGCTCCAAAGAGAGCAAGCGGTTTTTCTTCGGCACAGCCAGACAGCTGCACTCTAAGCCCCAGTGACAAGCAAGGCTTTCTTGAGCCCTTTTTGTCTTGTCCGTGTCCAAACTGACACCACCTCCCACGCCTCCAAAAAAT